TCCCTTTTAACACTGTTGGAAAAGTTTTTAGATGTGCATAGGGATTTGATTCTTAGAAGATCACATTCAATCTATTTTATCCTCTCCTGTTTGTAAGTTGGTTTTATTTTTATTTTTCATGTCATTAGTCTAGTGTTTTAGATTCTTCAGTCCAAATATTTATCATGCAGAATTCCTTCATTTTCCTTTTTTTTTTTTTTTTTTAATGACCAGGACTTTGTAAATACATCTCTTCCTAGGAATTTCTTTCAAGTAGTGAAGAATGCGTCATAGATGCACACATACATTTATAGAGATGATTGATCTAAAATATAAAAAGGACATTATGCTCAGATACTGTTGTGAGTTGCTATCAGGTTGGCATGTGGCTAATTTTAACCCTGTGTCAAAGGGAATTAAATGCTGCTTTGCCTAGTACTGTTCCCATAATCCAATACAATTTAGATGGTTGTGACACTTAGTGTTTTTTCCATTAACTCATTTTTAAAAGGTGGTTACCTGGCCTTTCTTCTTAGTCTATTTTAATCTGGAAATTCTGATTAAACCTTTTCAGCATCATTTCCAAACCCAAGCCTTCACTGACTCATAGGTAATGCCTGTGAATGGGTGCATTGGCTGGGAAGAATGCTGAATTCAAGGAAGAATTCTACTAATGAAACACCATTACCTGCATTTAAATGTCTTAATTTTCTAATGATACCTAAATAAAGAAGAAATAAAACTAAAACATATGTTCTACTTTGTGGAATTTTGCTTTTATTTTTAAGTCCTCCTCTATCATGCTTGAAACAATTCTGAATTTGAAATTAAGTTTAGGAAAATATTTTCATCTTTCAAATTAAAAAAAAAAAACCCAAACACCCCACCATTCCCAGATATAAGTTATTTACCATACAAGTTAACATGAAGGAATGTCCCATCTATAAATATGATATTAACCTAACTGTTGTTCTTCCAACAGCTTAAAAAAACACTTCTGAGATGTCATGAAAAAGTGGTGCCAATTGTTAAAATGACATGATGACAGTGTCACACTCCCCCCTCTCCCCAAACTTCACAAAGAGAAATGAGAATCATTGTGTCAGAAGACCAAGTCTGGTTGCTATGAGGTGGAAGTTAGACATATCTTTAGTCTTCAATCTTTTACCAGTTCTACCCTTCTTAGCAATTCGGGATGTGAGAATTCATTGCATTGACCACAAAACTCATGGGTTTTTGGTGGGTTTTTTGTTTGTTTGTTTTTATTTTTTTTTTATGGAAGTAACAGGTTACAATTCAGTATCTGAACACTGAATGACTAAATGACTCAGGATAGAATTCTTCAACCAAAACAACCTCATCTCAGTTGTACCTGCAGGAAGTCCATTTTCAGTTGTCCTTGGTAGCTATTCAAAATTATCCTTCAAAGAGATTTTACCAATTTATTTTCTTATAACAAGTGTAATAGTAAACTGTGTAGTTATGATTGTAAAAAGAAAAAAAGTACACTTTTCCTCTCTATCTCTGTTACACACACACCCTCACACACATAACATTTTTTATTAAGCTGTGAGTGGTTAAAACTCGACTTTAGAAAAAGGTTTTGAGAGATAAAAAAAGGATCTAGATCTCATCATTTCCCATTGAGTTGAATTGTTTCAAGATCTCACATTACCTCTCCCTGCTCTGCTCTTTTTGCTTAATTTCTCTTCTGACCTAAAGTTTTGCTTTGGTTTCTGTTCTTACAGCAACTTCCTCAAGGCCCGCATTGTCTAGCTATGTGGCAATAGCTTTGGGGCTTCTGACAACAATTCTTGTGAGTTTGCTCCTGTATCAGTGGAGTCTATGCCATGGTAAGTGCTAATTTAAACCAAACTTAATTTTTTACTTTCTCTATTTTGTATTTTAAGAGCAGCATGTTGTTTTTAGGTGCCATTGAGTTGAGGATGACTGATGGCAACTGTATAAACAACAGATTTGAACCTTGACTTATCATGTGCCATCCTCATAATCTCCAACATCTTCAAGCCCATTGCTGCAGGCACTGTGTCAGTCTACCTAGTGGAGTATCTTCCTCTCCTTTGCCTCCCCTCCATCTTCCCAACCATGATGTCCTTATCCATGGAATAATCTTCCTTAAAAACATGCCAAAATGTGTGAGATGAAGCTTCATCATCTTTGGCTGCACTTTCTCCAAGACATGTATCTGTTTGTTCTTTTGGCAGTCCGTTAGATATTCAGCATTCTTCTCTAACACCACATTCAAAAGCATCACTTCTTTTTTTGTCGTCTTTAGTCATTGTCCAGCTCTACAACATAATTCAATAAAAAATTTGAAAATGAAAATTAATCCAGACAAAATAAATCCATCCCTAGGGTACTGTGAGTTAAAATTTATTTGATGGAGATAGGTTTATATATGTAATGACTTCTGTTTTTGAGTTTAACTTCCTGGACTTTGAAGATTTGTATAAAATGTTTGTTTTCCTAACAGAATTGTGATCAAATTCTCTCAAATCTCTTCTATTTGCCCTTTTTTTAAATAAAGCAAATATAGAGATAGGTTCTGATCAAAGTAAGCTTATAATATTAAAGAGTGCTTTTTAAATTTTATATTTTATCAATTATTTTCTTGCTACCATGTATTATAATCAAATTAAACATAGTTTATAATATTAATGATGTTTACCTTTGACATAATGGTTATATCATAATTTAATATATACATATTTCAATTCTTATCCCTCACCTTTTGGTGGCACTCACATTTTTTTAAAGCTAACCTTTCAAAGATGAACTGACTCTAACAATCCAGAGTATCCTCAGTTTATTGTCTAAGAATTCAGAGGCCTTATTTAAGGCTATATTAACTAGGTGTTATTGTTAGTAACAGGCTAGTTAGCAAAGGCATTTGACTTTGGATCACAACAAATTGTGGCTAAAATGGAAAGAATGAGAATCCCAGAACACTTGATTGTGCTGATGTAAAACCTATTCTTAGAACAGGAAGCTGGAGTATGAGTAGGGCACGGGCACACTGCATGATTCAAAATCAAAAAAGGAATGTGCCAAGGATGTGCCATTTCTCCATACCTTTTCAACCTATATGCAGAACAGATCATCCGTGAGGCTGGACTTTGTGAAGAAGAATGTGGTATCAGGACTGGAGGAAGACTCATCAACAACATGTGTTATACAGATGACATAGTCCTGCTCACTAAAACTGAGGGGGATTTGAAGTGTTTGCTGCAGACGATCCAGGACTGTAGTCTTCAATATGAACTGCATCTCACATCAAGAAAAAAGATTCTCACCACGGGACCAATTGAACAGCATGCTCATAGATGGCGAAGTGATTGAGATTGTTACAATTTCATCCTGCTCAGACTCAAAATCAACACTGTTGGCACCAGCAGTAAGAAAATCAAAAGATGAGTTGCTTTAAGAAAGATTGGTATCAGGGATCTCTGAAGAGTGCCAAAGAGCAATGATGCCAGTCTAGACACTAAGGTATCTGGTCCAGGCCATGGTCTTCCTCATTACTTGCTATGCATCTGAGAGCTGGAATATATATAACTAAGGATAACAGAAGAAGAATTCATGTCTCTTGTGTACTAAAGAAGAGTTTTTAACATATTATGGATTGTCAAGAGAACAAACATATCTGTCTTTGAATGGGTGAAACCATATTGCTCCTTGGAGACAAAGATTTTGAAACTCCATTTGATATGTTTTGGGCATGTTTCCAGGAGGGAGCAGTTCTTGGAACAGGAAATCATGCTTGTGCAAGTGGAGGGTCGATGCAGGAAAGAAAGACTCTGGATGAGATGGATGGGCATAGTGATTGTGGCAATGAGAGCAGGTGTGTCAGAGACAGTGAGATTGGCTTAAGATAGGGCAGGGTTCAGAGTTATTGCTTGTAAGGTTGCTGTGATTTATAGTTATCATAATAGCACATAACAACAACTACAACAATATGATAACAACTACTATTAGTAAAAGTGACAGGACTGAACCTAGATCCTGACTCTTAGAACCTTTGCCTCAGACTCAAGACCTATACTTGACAAAGGAGATGACAAAGGAAATTGGGGACTTCTGACATAGGCTGGATAGTGATTAAGATCATAGTTGATGCCAAAGATAAAAATCTACAATGTGCTAAGTTTTTAGCTCAATCCTTAGAATTCTGTATTGGTCCCATATCAAGACTTTTCTCATAGAAAAGTTGTCCAATGTTTACATAAAAAGAAGTACTTTTCTCACATTTTAACTCTCAGGTTTATAGTAGATAAATAATTCTATGTGCTTATGTTGTTGTTGTATCTGCAGTTGAGGTCAGACTTATAACGACCCTATGTACAATAACTCTGAAGCCTGCTCTGTCCTGAGCCAATCTCACTGACTCCAGCACATCTACACCCATTGTCCTAGTTACTGTATCAATCCATCTTATCCGAGGTCTTCCTCTCCTGCACTGTTCCTTCACCCTTCTGAGCATGATGTCCTTCTCCAAGGATTGGTCTTGCCTGGCCACACGCCCCTAATATGTAATACAGAGCTTCAAATTCCTAGCCTCCAAGAAGAAGATTTCACTTTCTCTAGGACAGGCCTATTTGTTTTCTTGGTGATACATGGTATGTTCAAGACTCTTCTCCAGCACCACAACCCAAAGGCATCAGTTCTTATAGTGTACAATAAGACCTATGAAGGCTAGAACTTGTGTAAGGCAGAAACCTGTCAGAGAAGGAAAATTCCCTGTGTATTTATGAGGTACAGTTCTTACTAGAGAGTGATAAAAAGTGGTAAACACCTGTAAAGGTGAAAAAAAAATTGTGAGATACAGAAAAGCAAGGAAATCTCATTTATGACTTTCACAGATTTCAGTGTATATTGACTCATATGTGCCCACTATGAGATTGTGCTTGTAGTGAGGTGTGTCCTTCCTTACAAGGGAAGCGTAACAGAAGTTTGAATCTTGGTAGAAATCACCTTCAGTGTTTATTCAGTTCTTTTTAATTTTGACAGAACTATAATAAAATAATTTTAAAAAGAAATAAGAATTTACTAAAAATTTCGGTGAGAAACCTGTCACTAGTCACTTGAGCATCACATACCCTTCTCTGTCAGAAAGGTTTTAAAAAGACATTAAAATTTTTTTGTGAAGTATAACTATCTTATATACTCTCTAGTGGTTTTAGACAATTATATCACAAATAAAAGAGTAAAAAATTTCACTCCAGTTAAGGTGCATTTCTTTTCTTCTGCACCATTAGATATCTTGTCGAGGTTGGGTATTCTGAAAGATTTTTCCTGGTTTAAGCAACATGCATCAAACAGTTAAGAAATTATGCAGTGAGCATATATTGTGTGGTTGTTATGTGCCTTTGAGTTGCCTGTGACTCATCGTGACCCTATGTACAATAACTCTAAAGCCTGCCTTGTAATGAGCCAGTCTTACCAACTCTAACACTCCTACACCCATTGCTCCAATTTTATTGTATTAATCCATCTCATCCAGGGTCTTCCTCTCCTGTACTTTCCTTCCACTCTTCCAAGCATATGTCGTTCTCCAAGGACTGGTTCTTCCTGGCCAAGTATCCAAGGGATGTGAGACAGAGCTTCAAAATCCTAGCCTCCAAGGAGAAACTTGACTTCATCTCTTCAAGATAGACTTCTTTGTTTTCTTGGCAGACCATGGTATATTCAAGACACTTCTCCAACACCACAACTCAAAGGCATCAATTCTTCTTCTGTCATCCTTAGTCATTGTCCAGCTCACTGATGCATAGCAAGTAATTATGAAGACTATGACCTGGACCTTGGTCTCTAGGCTGATATCATTGCTTCTTAATACTCTGGAGAGGCCCCTGACAGCCGATTTTCTGAATGCAATTCATCTCTTGATTTCCTAACTGCTGGGGCCAAGAGTATTGATTTTGGAGCCGAGCAAGGTGTAATTGTTAACAATCTCAATCTCTTCCCCATTTATCATGGTTCTGTCAGTTGGCCCGGTGGTGAAAATCTTTGCCTTCTTGATGTTAAGCTTTAATCTATAATGAAGACTACAGTCCTTGACCTTCTGCAACAAGAGCTTCAGGTCCTCCTCAGTTTCAGCAAGCAAGGTTGTGTTATCTGCATAAAGTAGGTTGTTGATGAGTCTTCCTCTAATCCTGATGCCACATTCCTCCTCATAAAGCCCAGTCTCCCGAATGATTTGTTCTGCATATAGATTGAAAAGATGAAGATGTGGAGACAGGATGCATCCCTGATGCACCCATTCCCTGAGTTTGAACTTTGCAGTGTTTCCCTGCTGTGTTCTGAGGACTGCTTCCTGGTCCAAGTACAGGTTTCACATAAGCACAATCAAATGTTCTGGTATTCCCATTCTCCTCAAGGTTAGCCACAATTTGTTGTGAACCATTTAGTCAAATGCCCTTGCATAGTCAATGGAACATAGATAGACATTTCTCTGGTACTCTTTGATTTCTGTCAAGATCCATCTGACATTGGCAATAATGTCTCTAGTATAACAACCTCTTCTAAACCCAGCTTGTATTCCTGTTCCAGTTGTTTCTGGATAATCTTCAGTAGGATTTTGCTTGTGTGTGATATTGGTGATATTATTTGATAATTTCCATACTCTGTTAAGTCACCTTGTTTTGGAATGGGAATAAATACTGATCTCTTTCAGTCAATTGGCCAGGTAGTTGTCTTCTAGATTTCTTGCCACAACCTGGTGCCACAACAGGGCAGCATCTGTTTGTTGAAATATGTCAATTGGTATGCCGTCAATCTGTGGGGCCTTATATTTTGAAAAGTCCTTCAAGTGAGCATATGTACTCATACTAATATATATGAATTATACAGAGAGTTTACTAATAATAATATTGTATACACAGAGCAAGGGAAAACTGCATGGTTTTAAACTGGGAAAGGTGTGTGTCAGCATTGTATCCTTTCCCCATACCTATTCAATCTGTATGCTCTGAAAATTATTTGAGAAGCTGAACTTTATGGTGTCTTCATCATATGGCATCATGTTTTGGGGAAAACTCATTGGTATGCAGATAACACAATCTTGGTTGCTCAAAGGGAAGAGAACTTGAAATGTTTGGTGCAGAAAATCAAACAGTGCAGTCTTCAATATAGATTGTATCTCAACCTCAAGAAAACAAAAATTCTCACCACTGGAACAATAGGTGACATCATGTTAAATGGAGAAAAGATTGAAACCATTATTGACTTCTTACTTGGATCTACAATAAATACACTTGGCAACAACAGTCAAGAGATCAGGAGACATATTGCACTGGGAAAGACTGCAGCAAAGGACCTTTGAAAATTATGGAAGAGCAATGATGTTAGTTTGCAGACTAAATAGCAACTGATTCAGACCATGGTCTTTTTATTCATTTGCTATTCATTTGAGAACTGGACATTTAATAAGGATGACAGGAGAAAAATTGATGCCTTTGAGTTGTTTTGTAGGAAAGTACTGAATATCCCATGGACTGCCAAGATAACAAACAGATATGTTTTTGAAAGAGTGAAGTCAGATTGCTCTTTGGAAGTAGGATGGTGAGGCTTTATATGACATATTTTGGACATGCTGCTACAAGAGGATGTTCCTTGGAGAAGGACATCATGCTTGGGGAGGTGGAGGGTCAGTGAAGGGCAGGAAGACCCTCAACTAGATGGATTGATACAATAACTGCAGCAATGGGTTCAAGTGTGTCAGCGATTGTGAGGTTGGCACAGGATAGGACAAGGTTCAGATCTATTGTTTAAGTGCTGCTGTGAATAGTAGCTGACGGCATTGTTGTTGTTGTTATGTGCCATTGAGTCGCTTGCAACTCATAGCAGCCCTATGCACAACAGCCCTAAACTCTGCCCTATCCTGTGCCAATCTCACCATCTCTGACACACCTACCCCTATTACCCCAAGTTACTGAATCAATCCATCTCATTGAGGGTCTTCCTTTCCTGCGCTGTCTCTCCACCCTCTCAAGCATGACATCGCTCTCCAAAGACTGGTCCCTCCTTGCAACATGTCCATAGTATGTCAGATGAAGTCTCAGAATCCTTGCCCTCCAAGGAGCAGCCTGAATTAACTCTCTCCAGGACAAACCTGTTCATTTTCTTAGCAATCCATGGTATATTCAATACCCTTCTCCAACATCACAGCTCAAAGGCATCAATTCTGCTTCGATCATTCGTAGTCATTGTCCAGCTCTCTGGCATGTTATCAGGTGCACCTTAGTCTCCAGACTGACATCGTTGCACTTCAGTACTTTAGAGAGGTCGCTAACTGCAGACTTTCCCATTGCAATATGTCTTTTTATTTTTCTGGCTGCTGGTGCCAAGAGTGTTGACTGTGGAGCCAAGAAAACCAAAACTGAACAATCTCAATCTCTTCACCATCCACTGTGATGCTGCCAATCGGCCCAGTGGTGAGACTCTTATTTGTTGTTGTTGTTATGTGCCGTCGAGTCGCCTGCGACTCATAGCGACCCTATGTACAACAGCCCTAAACTCCGCTCTGTCCTGTGCCAATCGCAC